ATATATATATATATATATATATATATATAATAGGGAGTCTTTTTATATATAATCAAAATATAATACCATGACCATATACATAAATAATATATATGGTCAAAATCAAAAGCTCTTCTTCTTATCCTCCTCCATGTCTTTCTCCTTCTCCTTCTTTTTTCTTCTTCATGTTCCGACTAACATTATTTATGTTTTTGTACCGATTTTAATATGGCTTGACAATTGCAATTATCGCTGCAACATGAAACCGAATAACTCGGAAACAGCAAGAGGGTGACAATTGACAAACAACAGTTCGTAGTGCTTGACCTAATGTTATTATGCTTGACCCTATGTTATTATGTACTACCAAACTTATAGCCCTTCTCCCATCAACTTCACTATCCTTTCATACTTTTCTTCAATACCGATACACTAACTCCAGTCCCTAAAATCGGAGTAACGTTAGCCGCAAACTCCTCTCTTTCCCCAGACCTCACCCACTACCCCACATTTCCCTCCGCCCTCCCGCTCGCCTCCTGTGGCGCCGTAGTGCCCCAAACCCTAGCGGGGTCTGCGGGCGGCGGGGAGGGCGCACGGGCGGCTAGGAAGAGAAGCCTGGATGGGGAGCCACCGCGGATGCGGCGCGCTTTAAATATGCAGCGGCCCGGTTACGAGCCATACACGCTTTCGCCCGCCCCGCCCGCCCGCCGCCCGCCCCCTGCCAGCGCACCGGAAGCTCGATCCGCCCCGCCCCGATCCCGCCCCGATCCCGCCCGCCCAGCCCGTGCGCCTCCTACCGCCCACCTGCCCCTACCTGCCCCGCCCATCGCCCGAGTCGCCCCCGACTACCCGCTCGCGCGTGTTGCCCCAGCTGCCCGCCTGACCGCGTTTGTCTTCGCCGTGCCCCGCCCATGCTCCTAGCGCGCTCTGTCCGATCCACTCTCCACGCCTCCCCTGCTCCCTCCACTCTCTTCTCGAGCCCCCTGCCAGCACTCACGACTCCCCCGATTCCCCACCCATCCGCTCCGTCACTTTTCATCCTCGCGCCCTCTTCTCCCGAAGCCTCTTCTGCCCCGTCCTCTTTGTCCCGCCGCCCCTCTCCTCCGCCCATCCCCCGCCCCTCCGCCTCCACCTCCTTCTAGCCGAACGAAGCGGCCACACCGCCTCTCCCACTACGTCTCCACCCGCCTGTCGACTCCCGCCTCCGCCTGTTCCGCCCATTCTTCCGCACCCGCCTGTCGCCGCCCCCACCGCCTACCTCTGGGCCCGCCCTCTCTGCGCCCGCCTCCCGCCCTCCCGGCTTGCTCCTTACGCCCAAGAGCGCGTTTCCCGATTTGCGGCTCGTCCTCAGCTCTTAAGCGAAGGCCCGTGTCCCGTTGCTTTTCTATGGCGCGCTCGTAACCCGGCACGCGCCCGTGCCACGCTATTTACAAGCAGCTCCGAGCCTCCCGCGTCCATCTTGTCCTGCGCCGTCTCCACCTACTGCCTCCGCCTCAGCCTCCACCTTCCGCCTCCGTCTGCGTCTC